TGTATTACTACACACACACACACACACACACACACACGGGAAAGTAAAAGGACTGACCGTTTTTTCTTCCAAATTTCTTAAGGGGTATTGCACTAATTGAAGAAACGACAAATCATTCAAATTGCTTTTCACTTCCAGAGAATTGGAAATGTAGTGGTTTAATGAGGCAAAACCATGTCCTCGGCAAGTGCAGGCTGTTGCCCATTCGGTTTGCTAATCGTACTACTTGACTGTCTGGAATAGACGCTGCCTTAATTTCTTCACGTAAATGCTGCAATATCCGGTCAATAATCTAGGCGATCACGGTAAATAATTTATGATATTTTTTTATCCAATACCAGCTACAACGTGTACGTTGATTTTAAATCGTAAATGTCCACTGAAGCACATTGAAGTACTCTTTGAATCAGGACAGGCAACTCCCAAACGGAAAAACTTTTAGTTCGAATAACAATATTAACTTTCCTCAGCGACAACTATTATATATTGTAACTTCCTCAAAGCAATACAAATGTAACGCAATGAAAATGTGCTTAATAATTAAAAAAACTCGTATATGTGCCGAAGGAAAGAAAGGCCATGTTGTGATCTGGGCAACCTAAAATTTGTTTTTATATATCAATATCGGGCTTGTTAAATATTAATAGACTATTCTTATTAATATAACATTAAATACCACTCGTTGTTTGGAAATTCTCTGATTAATTCGGAAGCATTTTTCGATTTATCAAAGGTAATTTCCATCTTCCTTTTAATGCAAAATATTCTCCTACTTTGAACGTTGAATTAAAAGGTCAAAATCTTATATACGTGTATTTTATCGCCTGAAAGAAGCAAGGCGAAATATAACTAGCGTCTTAGCAAAGAATGCAATTCTTTTGATTTACAGCGTGAATTAAAAACTATTTAACTTTTGAAAATTACTTGTTGTCCATGGGTTGGGCATCGGATAGAAGAAGATAAATAATTCTGTCTGAAGGTATTTATTTTCTAACGACTTGAGAGATTATGGAATCATTTGGCTAGCCAATGCCAGTCACGTAACCAGCGTATAAACGTTGGCGAGTTGGAGGTTGCGGAGAAAGCGATGGAGGCTTTGGTGATGCTGGCTATGTTGAGGATTAAGATAACGAGGTAAAGGAAATGGTGAGACTGGAATAGACACGTAAGGTGATGGTGACAAGTTTAAATAAAACATGTGTCTATGGTGAGGAGAGATGTGCGGATTAACGGAGGTAATCTCCAGGCAACATAAGCGGAAATATAAAAATACATTACACAAAACATTTCTTTGAGAAACACTATTTTTTTGTTTTGAATGTATATAACTTGGTACATTATAAACGTATAAACCATACGAAGTACGAATATCAGAAAGTTAAGAAGGGGTTTTACGCAGAAGTAAATCGTCAAACCAATACAAATTACACACACATACACATTTATATTATGTTTGGCACAGAAGTCACAAAGTTAAAGGAAGTCACATCCGTATCAATGGCGAATTGAAGGGTAAGCGGTCCACACGGAAACGTGCGGCCCCGTGAAATCATTAAGTCCCGTGAAATCAAATTTTCCATTCATTTGGCAAATATGCTCTCAAGCAAAGTACACTTTCCCTTAATAGAATTGAAGTATATATTTATCGTATGGTTGTATTGTGGATAGATAACATCACTTACAGCGAGCCACTATTGAAATGTCGTACACATTTCCGAATAATAATTGAAATAATATTGAATTTTTTAAACAATGCCTTATAAAATGCGTCCGGAGAAGATTTTTTTTAAAGACAATAAAATATAATTTAAGGAACCCAATCGGAGAAGAAAGATTAAATATCTTGGCCATTTTCTATATAGATCAGAAAATTTTAAACCGGATTGACACTGTCAAAATGTTTCATGATTGGCAAGAAATAAAGCAAGTTGGGGATTTATTATTATTATTATTATTATTATTATTATTATTATTATTATTATTATTACTAAAATTATTATTATTATTATTATTATTATTATTATTATTATTATTATTATTATTATTATTATTTGCCTACAACATCTCATAAAGAGCAAAGGCCTCCTGCTTTATCAGGGATACAGTAGGTTGATATTTGTAAAATCACTAAAGTAAGTCATTAGAATCATCAAAACATTATAAAGAAAAATGAATAGTAGATAAAAGAAATTATTGTTAAACAAACTATAAGACAACAAATATATGAACAAACAAAATATTAGATATAAAAAACTGTATAGTATCTTTAAGAAAATGAGCAAAAAAAATAGCAACATATGAGCAAAACAAATAGTAGCTATAAGAAACAATAGTTTCACTGGGAAACATCACAGAGAAGAAGTGCAGAAGTCAGAGATTAATGAACAACTATTTTTAAATTAATTTATTTATTGTGAACGGTATGCATTTATTCGTTACTTTCTTATTTTCATAATGAGTTTATTAATTTTTTCTCAACTTCTATTTCTAACTTGAGTTCGAAGACCCAAAACTTTAACAAGGGTCTCGACTTGCCTTGAGCCGCCTCTGGTTTGAACAGTTGTCTTCCGAAATTCTCGTACCCTTGGCGGAGGTACTTTTGCTGTGGCCACGTGTGAGGCGTTTGCAACCTCAGAGCTCTTGCGAAGGTTGGGCGTTGCCACTGCAGGAGGTAGGGACCACCTTGTTATTTCAGTTCACCCGGGGATATTGATGACCGGAGGGGGGCAGAGGAAAGGTTATGTAACTAGATCAAATGTTTGCATTTTGACATAACTTTGACACGACTTCACCTAAAGTCGATCTCCGGTATAGTACTATACGAAATTCTGAGAGGATCTCTAGCATTGTCTTTTGTCTAAACGATGTTGTTTTTTTAGTATTATGGTGTGTGTTAGTTATCTAAAAAATGTTTAGAAATTTCATTGAGATAAATGAATTAGAATTCAGAGTTGAACCAAGCAGCCAATAATGTTTGGCAACATCTAGGACATAAAACCAAGTTATTCATAGCTCAATTTTCGTTACGTATTATTAAATTACAATGAAGTAATCGATGGAAATTTATTAAAAATATTTCAAATGTAAAATAATATTCAAAGGTTAAACATATGAATTAAAAACCAGAAATTTTAACAAATAACTCGGAACTCGGAAAACCTGTAACAACCGGAAGAGGGAGCCCCCCTCGCTGCCGAGCAAAACAAGAGAGGCAAGAATAGCGCGTGGACCCTGCGGCGGTCAGGGAGTCCCCCTCCACGTGGCCTCCGCAACTCGGCGTCGAGGCGGGTGCAGGCGGACGATTCGGAAGGGACATCGTGTCCTTCAACTCCACACGCTCGTTTACTCTTCAAGGCTTCGGTTGAGCTCACGGATGTTGAGCCAAATTCAACAAATTCCAGTTGAAGCACAACTCAGCTAACAATAATTTTGCAAGGAAAGAATTATCTCGCACATTGATGTGGCAAGAATCAGGTAATGTCTGAGATATTCTGGATTTCATTTACACCGTAAGTCAAATCTTAAACAACTTATTGCTGGAGAACACGCGCGTGTTTGTCTCTTACGAACTCCTTTGTTTCCCCAGCTCGTATATTTGTACCGAGCACGTAGTATTTCTTCGAGTCCCTTATCGCATTCACGGGTGGGTCAGTCTAGGGAGCTGAAGCAACTACCGGTTGCATGGAAAACCTCTCACCTGCCAAAAACGAGGCGAGCCTGTTATCCACGCAACAGCAGCGCACCGTCGGGATCGGGCGGGGCTGAGATTTGAACCAGGTCATGCGGAATGGGTTTGGATTCGGGTCGTGCATAACTAACTAAAAGCCCGGACTACGCAGACACGGTGCAGACGGCGCGCGGGGCTCTTGCCAAGAGTCTGCTGCCCCTCCTCGCCCATGCCTCGATCGCCGCCGCCGCCCCGCCGCCGCCGGGTCTGGCCGCATGTCACACCTACGTAGCGAAGCAACGGTAGCCGGATCGCTGCCGTGACAGCTTGCCTTGTGCGCGGCCGCGCACGGTGCGCCCCGCCCTGCCCCGCCCACCCCACTCCTCCGGAGGGGCCACACTCTCTAACTCCCCCTTCTCCCACCCCCACACGCCCCGCGTCAACACCAACAACATCAATGGTTTGCCCATTATCGCGACGATGCTCGCTGCACATTCTTCACTTGTCTCATCCCCTCCACGTACACTGCATACATCTATCCTCTCCAATAAAGCCACATCCTAATTTCTTGCACCGAATTCTGCCCCTCCTTCTTTATCAAGACCACAATAACACACTGTCTCGTTACGCTCCCCTCTCCCCCTCCCCGGGTTCTGTGAATTTCTCGCCCCCACCTTACATGTACTGAACAAAGATGCTTCCATCCCACTATTTTCTTTTTAATTTTCTTTCGATTCCGTATACAAACTCATTCCCACTCTCAAGCCATTTGTGATTTGAATGATTTGTTAGCGATTCGGGTACTGTCAACTTCAGGGTCATTATTCCGTAAGTGCAATGTCTGGTTTTGCCCGGCAGGTGGCAGTGAATCTTTCCCCGTTGTATGGCGAGATCCGGCGCCGACTACCGGTAGTTTCCCAACCACGTATCTCCATCAGCGGGCACCCCCAGCCGACAAGCTCTCAGCTCCTGACGAGTCACCGCATGTTGGTATGTAGTGGTGTTGGGTTGTGGGTAAGGGGTGAGGGTCGGAGAAGCAGAGGGTGTGAGATCACGCGTGGTCGGGCCCGTTTGTAGGCTACTGCTCCGGATATCGCTGGTGTTGGTCGGAGAAATCAGGGAAACTACCGACAAGCAGCGCGCTGGAATTCTCTCTTCAGCGACTAAATTCACTAGCTGACAACTAGTGATCGAAACTGCCCCGAGTCAAGACTTCGAACCAGGAACGCTCGTGCAGGGCATCGCAGTGACATCAGTTGATGCCTACCATCTTCACGGTTTCCGTGGCTGTCACGCCTTCACCCCCACCCATGTCCCACGGATCGCTTCCGGCATGTCCCCTTCCACCGCCCAGTCCGACGCGCACCCAATCTGCCACTGTCCCGCGGCGTCGCTTCCGTCGTCCCACTCCTACCCCACATCGTGCCATGAACGCCGCCGCGCCGACTGCGCGCCACGCGCCGCCGCCACCGCCCGCCGCCGCCACCGCACGCCACCGCCACCGCACCGCACCACCGCCCCCCCCGCCGCGCCCCACGCCGCCCGACCGCCACCCACCGCCCACCCGCCGCCGCCGCCGCCGCCGCCGCCGCCGCCTCCATGCGGTCAGTGCGTCTCCAGACTCCGAACGGCGGCAATGAACATCGCTCAGGTAAGCGCGCGAAACGCAACGCGTGTATCCTTCGCTCGTGAATGGCCACATGCAACAGCGTGCAAGGTTCGGCTCTCCAGAGGTCGGCGGGGACGAAGTTGTTTTTGTTTTTTTTTTTCCTAGGAAGTTCTGATATTTACGTGGAGTAGAGGAGAGAGTGGATGTCCAAATGAGGCGGAGTTGACTTTATAGTTTTGTTGATAGCGTTTTCACCCAATGTTTTCATCTACGGATCCGCTTTAATGGTATTTGTGAGCTTGGTGTTTTCTTCTACAAATTCAACGCTTGCTATTCGTGGGAAATGTTTATTTACTACTCACGTTATTTAATTGTTTTCTTGTGTCTATATATAATACCTTTTATTGTATATTAAAGTAATGATTTAAAATATTTATTCTCCATACACGTTCCAGCATTTAAAAATATTCATATTTCGACGGCTAGGCTTCTATTCATTTCGGGTCTCGTGTTGTGTCTTTTTATCTCGGTTTTTTCAACTTTTTATGTCAAAAACACTTATCTTGTAATAGAGTTTAAAGTACGTCTCGTAAGCAATAATTTTTTAAATTATTTTTTAAATTATTTTTGTTGTTGTCAACCATTGCCTTTAAATTATCAAAGTTTATGACCAAAGATACAGTATGTGGCAGATGAGGTACTAATTAGCTTTCCATCCATGGAAGGAACATAAAATAAAAAGTGTGGTGTTCCGGTAGAATGAGTTTTATTATTTTGTTATTCCGTTAGATAGATGCAATTGTTGGCTTTACTTTTTATCATTACTTTCTCGTACATTAAATATTTAAGCCCAGTACGTAAATTTAATGACAATGATGAGATTCAATAATAGGAGACAGCCCTGAATCTGTTGAAACGCTTTATTAGTTCCCGCGCAATAATTTTGTCTGTTTGAAACTCGAAGGTCAGAATAAAGAGGCGTCTTCTGTGACTTCTCGTCGTATTCTAGAAACACTCACATTCCTGTCCGGTCCCAGAACAGAGCTACGCAAACAAGCACCGAAAGCTCCTCGAAAACATTAAAACCGAGTGGAAACGTTCAAGTACCTGAATCAAAACTAGGTTGTTTTTGTGTCAAGAAGCATTTCACTGGGATGTTGAAACCAATGCGAAACATTACTAGTAGATTGCAGTTCTCTGCTCTCGATTCACTTGTTTGGTATTTTCTTTTTACCGGTGGGTAAGCCAATATATACTGCGTAAACAACGAAGCAAAGCAAAAATGAACAACTGTATTGTTTGGTAAAAAAGCGCATTATGCGAACATATTTTGAATTGCAATAACGCTGTCTGATTTGATCTCTGAAAAGTATTCGTGTGAAATTTGGGTGCCATTACTCCAGTGGGACGAATATTTTTGTGGCACATTCCATTGTAAACAACTTCACTTTTATATAATACATTTAAAGATAAAAATAGTAATGGATTTTCACTTGACAAACGCTGTTATAACTACGTAATTAAATATAATTGAATTAACTAGTTAAAAATAAGTAGTTAGAAAAGGTTATGCGAATTTGATGTCCAGGTTTGTGAATGGGTGCTCGCGTTTAAGGATTGACGCTGGGAAGTAATTCAATATCCTCCCGAAGAGGACCAACAGCTCTGTTTCAATCAATCGCTAATCTTACTGACACTAATGATAAAACATATTGTAAGATGACTAACGAAGTTATTCTTCATTATTTCAAGAAGTAATGACTGTAAATAAATCACGTATCTTACGGGGCTCCCTCGAAGACCGCACATCTTTTCTTAAAAGACGTAGTAGGTACTAAATTGCAATATACCTGAATGACAAGAAGGTGTGTTGTTAATGTTAGTGGACATTGTAGGAAAATTGTTTACAAGTTTTTGGCTTCATTTTTCCTTTTACTTCCAAGCCAACGCCACAAAAAAAAGCTGTGCGGAACTTCCTTATTTTCATCGCCTCTTCAATTTATTTCTAACTTCGACCTTCATCGTCTTCGGCTACATCACCGTTTCCAACGCCGCCTACTGTTATAGAATATGCGTTATGCTCATTGCTCAGTACGATCCACAAACGATTGATGGAAACTAATTTTCGGCTAATTAAGTACTTTGTTTTAATTTCATAGTTGCAAGTAGTAATGTGGTCTTCATGTAATTAAATTTTAATCCGTAAAAAAATGAGAAATATCTTTTAACATGCTTACCTTCAATCGAGAATAAACCGGCTGAAATTGCTCAGAGGCAGCAAACATTTTCTGCAGCGGTCCTAGGGTTCGAATCCCGTCGGTCGCATTTTTTTGAATTTTACTTGCGGAGTAGTCAGGTGGAATTCAACCAGTGTCCAAAGGATAATTTTAGCGGCCATCTACTCTGATCGGTAGTTTTCTCTGTTGTTTTTTCTGACGCATACGAGGACTATGCCGAAGAAGTTCCTGAACACACGGGTCACTATACGTAAGCGTTCTTTCCTTCTTCGTCCTTGTCCCATCCTCTCCCATTACTCATTCACAATTACGCTATGCAACGTGTCGATAGACCTGTTGGGACCCTGGAGCTTGTCCTAGCTGGGGTGGTGCCCAGATGGGGGAGTTTCCTGCAGTGAAAACCCCGAAAGCCAACGAAAGCCAACGATCCGGTGGCCGAGATCGCTAAGGCGTAGCATCGCGGGTTCGAGTCTCGCCTCGGGCATAGTTGTATTGTCGTCATCCTTTCACCCCATCATCATCATCATCATATCATGACATCCTCACAGTTACTATACCGTTACAAGCAATAGTGGTCGATAATGACCTAAAAGTTGATGCAATCTTAAATAAAATTAAAAAAAAAAACAACAAAAAAACAAACAACGTATAGGTAGAAGACGGATCTCTCGTTCCAACGTGGACGGAACGCCGCAACTTCCGGGATATAATATGCCCTGCACTTATGTGTCTAAAGGCCGTAGCAGTTGCCGCGCCAGATACAATCAATAGGAAAATAAAACTGTATTCTAAAAGGAGGCAAAAAGCAAATTGTAAACAAGAAATAATTACGCATTTTTTTAGTATATTCCTAAGCGAAAATGGCACTTGCAATACTAAATAAATAATATTTTAATGCAAGCATTCTTAAAATTAAAATTAATTCAAAAATAAATATGGCTACAATGTCAGATTAAATCCGACAGATTGTAATGTAGCTGAAGTAAATGACAAATAGTGGGTGATAAAGATCCAGATGAGAAAAGTTCTGACATGCTGAGGTTTACCGTTCTGCATAATGTTAGATCTTCGGTAACGACATCCAATAATTATTATAATCCAGAAGATATCGAAGATCATAATAACTCTTTCGGAATCACACTATGCACAAAACATATTTTAAATGACTCTTTCTCGTGAGGTATATGAGTTTGTAACTACGTTCAATAACTCTGCCCTTCAAAATATATAATGCAACAAAGGCAGTCAAGAAATAATAGCTTGCATTTTTATTTCCTGGGAAATACTTTAGATCCTTTGCAACTTCAGATCAAGTTGATATTTTTAAATAAAGAAAAACCTTTGTAACATTTAAGAGCGTTTGAAAAGAAAATTGGAGCAAATAATAAGCGTTGTTTTGGCTTCCAGCCTTTGCGCATTGCTTAGGTGTGCCATTGTCTATTGGTATCCATGAAACACAACAGGTTTCCCGAATTTGATAATCAAAAGTGGTTCCTCATGGCCCAACAAATTATTTTGCATACAGTCGTGCGTTCGTGTTGTGGTTGACCTTGCAAATGAATCAACTCTATAGCGGTTGTCTTCTATGAGGCAGTTGGTAACTTCCTTCTTCACATCAAATCCTTATCATGTTTGAAATCCATATCCACGGAACGGGGTTGAAGTGAAATCATGAAAATTATTCGTAATTTGATGCTGGAAATTACTCGTAAAATGTAGTATTTGGGTCGCGCACAAACCAACGTGTGCGTAAAATATACAGGTGTTCCACCAACTTCGGGCCACTCCCATAACTTCTAAACGGTTCCCGATAGCGAAATGTAGTTTTCGCTGAATAATGCGGAATGATGAGGCTAGCAATATGCCGTAAAGATATTGTTTGAAATACTTTTTGTTGTCGATAAATTTAATCATCTTTGATGGGACTAGTGTATATTTTTCGCACCAGCAATGAATAGACCATAAAAAAAAAGAATTCAATGATGTATCATGTTAGTACTTTTACAGAAAGTTGAGTATAAAATTATGCCTTCTGACATGTGATTTTAAATTAAAGTGACAATATTTCCTGAAGCAAGCGTTGCAACTGTAGTCCACTGTGCGGGAATATTTTGAATTATTTTCCGGTGTCAATCCTTAAACGCAGCACTGATACATAATGCTAGCCAGCAAATTCAAATTGCCTTTTCTAGCTACTAATATGCAAATACATATTTGTTCAATTATCTTCCGAAAAAACGGAGCCCTGAAACTTTTACTATTTACGAGTATACTGGGCTTCCATAACACCTGTCTTACACAACTCATCCGCTGGAGTTTGTGCTTGTTTATCGAAATTTAAAATGTGAGAATAATTCTTCAAATACAGAAAGTGAAATTAATTCATAAAAAGAACACTTTAAAAATAGAAATTAATTCAATGCGATTTATTTAAAAATGAAAAGCTGTTTTAATGCAAACTATCTTTTAAATAATGTTTATCTGGATTGTTACTTGTCGATTGATTTGATTTATTTGGCGATTGTTAAATCTAACCGATCCGACTGTTCTTGCAAGCTAGAAGTGTACCGATCGCCATTTTTGCGTAATCTTAAATAATTATCTATTACACACTTATATTATTATTAAATTAATTATTATATTTTTAATTAATAAAAATAATTAATATTTTTATTATATATTATTAATATTAATATTACTTATTATTACAAAAAATTAATATTTTTAATTAATAAAAATACTATTTATGACATCTGACGAAACTCTGAGCTCCGCCATTTACGGGGCCTTGAGCCCGCATGATCCTTGAGATGGGTCCCCAACCGTAGCCACGAAGGCGCGGAGCTCTATATCACGCCGGCTAGACGCCGCCGCCGCCTGCCGGCCAGACCTCCAGGTGCAAAGGTCGAGTGTTAAGCGCCCGCACGTCTCGGAAAACGAACGAAGTGACCGCGAGATTCCCGGTTTGACCGGTTCCTAGTCGTGCGTTCATGGAGT